GTCATGTTCCTGTTTTATAGTTAAGACTGTTGACATGGTGGCTGCTTTCATCTTGGCCATGTTTTATGACAGTTTGAACATACACTTGACATTAGATTACCAACTCCAGATAACAGGAGATATGAACTGAACTGAGGGGGGGGGGGGGGGGGGGCATTTATTGACTCAGGGAAATAACAGCCTCAGGTTTCTTAAAATAATCTTTATTTATTAATATATTAGAGTAGACCACTGAATTACCATGTACACATATTTGGTTAAACTTAAGAGAGCGATTGCTAATCTTTTTTTATTAATTAAACAGAATGCACAGGAAGCCTAAGGTCTTACCTATTTTTGCAAAAAAAAAAAAAAATGCCTACGTTGTATAGAAATATGAAGAGAGAAGACAGCCTTGTTAATGTGGTGAAGAAACACAAATAACTGCTGATGATTCAGAGACTTAATTACTGCACTGCCAACATTATTATGACCATACATTTGACTCTGGTAATTGCAATACATATTAACACTTTAAAAGGTGCCTTCAATAGGTATAATGAAATGGGGAAAATTAAGTCATTCAATGACTAAAATATTTATAGAATGTTGACTTTTTAGCCACAACAATGTAGTGAAAAATGCACAACTAAAGATGAAAACATCCATCCATCGCCAGAGGTTCTATATATATATATAGCTGTGTTATAATTAATTCAGAAGTCTAGACAAACTCATTTCATGGTAATTAAGCAGTGGTTTATGACTGGGTCTTCTGCTATGTATGAAGCTAAGAGCTGCTTACATCATGGCTGCAAAAACTCACTGATGGTGAGAGACTGATGAAGTCAATTATCTGTACTATCATCTACTTCAACTATATTATCATATTATTAATTACTGATATTATATCTATATTATGGTTTGATGGTGAGAGACTTATGAAGTGAATTATCTGAACTATCATCTACTTCTACTATATTATCATATTATTAATTACTGATATTGTATCTATATTGTGGCTTGGCTCCATTCTGAACATATGCACAAGTGCTTGCATTAATATTGATATGTGGAGAGAGAGAGAAAGAGAGAGAAAGAGAAAAATTTCCTGAATGATCTCCGGAGTCAATGAACCAGCTGTGGATATATCACTGTACATATGCAGATACTGCTCTACAGTACTAGCTCTACACTGATAATAACAGTCATACTCTCAGGATGCAGAAAAACTTGTCAGCTGTTAACGTCTGTTCAATAGCTGCATTCAGATCAATTTTAGAATAAATGTTTCAGTCCTATCTTCGGGAAGTAGGGACTTGATTGCAACCCCCCTCCCTCTAATTAGGTACTTATCACACAAATGGTAGGCTAATAATATGAGNGCAGCGTGTCTAGAGAAAATGAGTAAAATGGGAAAATGGGCAAAAGAAGCCAAAACCAGTAGCAGGAACAAGCAAAAATTAATAAATGAATAAAACAAATAAAGAAAAAAGGGAGTAATTAAATGAATGAAGAAAAGTAAAGAAAAAAGCAGGCTAGAAAGTCAAAGAAGTGACAAATACCAACGACATTCTACGGTTTGCCATGTATCAAATGCCAATTGGGCTACATTTGGTTTATCTGAGGGTGGTGGTGGGTGGAAGCCAATTATGCAATACCAGGCCCGTAGCCAGCGGGGGGGGGGGGGGGGGGGGGGGGTTGTAATCAAACACCTGCTTCCAAAATCAGGACTGGGGATATTTTTGTGAACACCACCACTACAGCTACATGGCCTACAAATAAATTCACTTCACCTCATTTTTACACGTCCCTTTACAGCAATTTCCTCTAAGCCTGTAATTGTCAATTTGCTCACACAAACAGCTAACAACGATATATCTTTTTATGCATGAAGCTCTTTTTTAATGCATGGATTTTCTTTTAACCATCATTCTCTTCAAAAGAACGAAATGCATCCAACTTGTTGGTCTATTATGCATTTTGCTCATCTTGCTACATCTTAGAAAACAACACAAAAGGACATTTCTAAAACAACTGTTTACCTCAATATTTTTCAATAAAAATTCTTTATTTCTTTACAACTGGGGTAAGTTAAAAGGAAGTCTTTCAGTGAATTTCTTGATCTTCTAAAAATGTTTGCTAACATCAAGAGAAGGTTCCTGTGAGACTGCTAGTAAGCATATTTCAGCAGCCTTCATGCCCAATGACTTCCCAGTGTAAAAAACATAATAAGTTCAAATAAATTAAATAAATCACTGTTAGCTGCATTTTCCATGCTTGAAAAACACTGCTAATAAAAGTTTATTAACGTAAACTACAGACGCAACTGAAAAAATCCAAGAGGCTTATTGAAAAGAAACATGAGAACGTGTTCAATTTAAAAGACGCCATTCAACTATTCTAAAAACAAATCTGTCTTTGTTTATTGGATACATGGCTAAGATTGCTTAAATATGATTTCTTCACATCTAACCATAAAACACTTAGCAACATTTCTGTTAAAATGTACAGTAAGGAATTTGTTTTCAACTATCACAAGTTTTGGACTAAACTGAATAAAGATATATACTGGGTTCCCATACCTAGATTGATCTAACAGGATCGATCCGTCTCCTCATTTCTCATTTATTTTTATTTCTCTCGTTTTCACACTGAGAACATATAACAGTATCATTTAACCTGGAGGCTTCTCTCTCTCATTGATTATTTTTATGAATATATACACAGGTTTTTCAATATATTGATATTCTTGGAAGCAAAAAGATTGTGAAACTTATAGGTGTTAAGTCTGTTTATAAAATAGTCAGGTACCAACCTTTTTCTATCTTTCTATCTCCCAGGGATTTTTGCTAAATTGCTTTCATCTTAAGCGGCTAGCATCTAAAGTAGGCTTGACAGACATCTAAGCTGCCTAAGTTGATTGCAATTTAGCGAGAATCCCCTTGGAGATAGATCGATCCACAGTTAGATCAATCCACAGTTAGTACGATAGGGTCTGGGAATGGTCCCATAGAGAGCAATCCCCATCAGCCACAAACTATGACCACATAAGGTCTGCTGATTCCATGGACTTCTGCTGACCAGGCAATTATGATTGTAAACTTGGTCATTTTCTCAGTACTTGCAGTAACTTTCCTGGGTTGATGACTAGGACTATATATTGGACCCTATCAAGAATATATTACCAAGAATGTTCAATCAAAATGGCCAAATCTATACTAGTGCACTGTATACTAAAAATACTCTAAATGAACCTTGCAGCGAATATTAACCAAGTCCCCGATTTTTCCTTAGATGTTTTATTCACTTGGTTACCAAGAGAAATTAGAAAGCTTGCTTTTTCTAGAGCCAAAGCACCTCTATTTCACACTGGTTTCTGAGTACACTGCCTCCATCACAAAATTTCAGAAAATATAACATATTCCTACAAAACCGCAATCCCTAGAAGAACACTTCTAGCCCCTCCCCCTCTCCGGCTCGGTGTTGTTTTTACCCATTTTCAGCCCTGTCCCATATTTCAACTCCCAAATGCTGGCAACTGTGTGATTTGTGTGGTAGACTCACCAAGAGGGAGGGGTCTTCTTCATAGCTGGAATAATTCACAAAGGTCAGAAGTTGGAGAGATATTCTTAGGAAAAAACAACAGCAGGGGGTAGCTTTCTAGTCTCACTGGGTCCAGACGTATTCAACAAGGAGGTCTATAGACTGCAGCCAGGGAGTACAGTGCACTGGCTCTATATTACCAAAGTCACCAGCCAAGCAGCAGGTCACCTGGGTAGACAGGCAGATGCAACTGTGCTGGACTGTTTAATTTTTATTATATAATAATTTCTGTTTTAATAATGAACACTAAGCCCCCCTTTCCATTATAATAGCCAGGTTAGCACATCACAGGCTGAGAACTAAAATGTTACCCTGATTACAACAGTCTAAATATATACACACACCTAGCTCATGATGAAAACAGTCCATAAACACCTATTTCAATGTGTGAACTGGCTTTAGACTGGTGTTATGTGATCTATGTCTTTACAATATCCATCACCAGATATATCACAACATGAGCCTGGGTATAAAGTTTGACCAAACCAACTCCAGCTTTTTATCTGCTCACACTGAGACTTCTTTGGACCAAAAATGTGACTAACTTGAGTTGTGGGACATTCAGATTAATTGCACAATCCACAAGCATAATGGGCTGTTCTTATGTTGAGGACAAGATACCCCATGTCATTCAGATAACTTCAAATTACATTACACTTGTCGTTTCACATTGTGACACTTTGCCTGAAATCTGATTTAAAACAATGCAAACATTTCCCTTCGCCATTTCTTATACATATCATAACCATTGCACTTGCAGTTTATAATAGATGAGAAACAGGTGTGGAAGTCATTTCAGATGGCCTGGGCATGTGGGCCACAGCACAGTAATCTTATCCTGCATAAAACATAGCTACGCTGTCTCTGAAGTTACCAGGAGTAGACCACACCACACTAAGAGGCTGGTCCTGATCAGAGTAAAAAACTCTCTGATTACAGGATCTGTGAGGAGTTAGTTATAGATATATCTTAGGACTCAGATCAATACAAATATACTGCTTATAAAATATAAACATGTTATCGGAGAGCAATATTAAGTTAACATACCAATTATTAAAAGGTCTGGGACATAAAAGGATGTTTTTATTCAACCCCATCCCAAGCACAAAGAGGCCTCACTAAACCACAGGCATCTGTCCTAAGACAATGGTAGTCTGAAGACCACAGTTTAGACAACCCCTCTCCAATCCATACTGGTCTTGTCTAAACAGGAGTAATTGGGCACTGGAGCACTTTTATTAATTTCCAGCCTTTTAAATTGGGCTGCTGGAAATGATCTAATCACAGTCAAGGTTTATTAGGAGACCTATTGAACCAAAGCGGAAGCCAGTTGACAGTTAAATATACTGCTACAGTGAATATCAGAGTTATGAGTACTGTATATGCCTGAATATAAACCAAATTTCATGTACTTACTATAGTATTGTGCTATGTTATCAGTGTTCTAACAATGAGTTCAAGATGATTCAATGTGTATCTAAGGCCACTGTAAATAAAATGGGACATAATACTTTTGTTAGTATCTTTACTAGTATATACAGCCAGGAAAACAATATACATAAGTAAATATAAAAATTTTAACTTAAGCTAAAAATCTACAAGTATCTTGTTCCTTATCCCATTCTAACAGCTCCCAAATACAAACAATGTACACAAACATAGGAATACCTGCAGCAATGCTTACAAAGATATAGTGTATTTACAGAGGTTGACAGCCTTTGTGTACAGTTCTATGCTTATGTGTATCATTGACCTAATGAATCAGAAACCAGAACTGCATTAAAAAAAAAAAAAAAAAACATCTGGGGCTCTTAACTAAGATATATATCTTTTTTCAACCATTTCACATAGGCATTAATATTTTCATTTGTCTGCTCAAAAACGATGTTCAACGTTTGGTTATTATTTACTATGTTTTTCATTCCCCCCCCCCCCCCACCCTCCACACACACACNCAAACAGCCGCAGTCTTTGCCAACCCTCCCTGTACTTTCCCCACCAAATATATAGAACACTATGATCAGCATCCCCCGAGACTCCACATAAAGCTATTAGCTCACCTATCCATGCTTCTTTGTGCGCAGTGTTTCTGGAATCAATATTTAGTCATCATCTGTCGCTCAGCTGATCGTTTTTTTCTGAAACTAAAAGTAAGATCGAAGAAGTCACTATTTAGTTGCAGAACGAAAGAACTTCCTTCCTTTCAAATCGAAGTAGATTTCCTTTGTCTGGGGACGGAGTACAATACCCGCCTCAGTAAAAACATATTAAGGGAGCTTTCTTGCTTACCATACACATGTGAATCACACGAGTACGTATGAAACAGCAGAGAACGCTCCTAGATTCCATTGACTACGTCTTCACAGCTCTTGCCATGTTAATTACCACACACAGACTTTCTGATCTCCCAGCACAAAAGATTTACGTTGTGATAGTAAATAACACAGGTATATTTTTTACGACAAGATATCGTGCGGTATAGGAATGGTATGCACATATTAGTTTAATGTAAAGTTATATGAGGGTTATTAATAATTCAACAACAAAAGGTAATTATTTCTCTGTGACAGATGATCTAATCAATATTCCCTGAACTCGGTGAACAGGACCCTGTGATGATTATCAACATGGCGGTGGACGTGGCAGCTTTAAAACGGGTCCTAGGACTTTTTGTCTGTTTATGTGTGACAAGGACCTCGTTACAACGCGAAGACGCCGATGGAATTGTATATAGTGCAGATGGCAAAGATACAACTGCTTTTGGTTCTGCTAAGCCAATGAGGTAATGAAGATCTGGGGGTGTGAGCCGCTTGACGCTGGCACACTAACATTGTGCTTGTAGTTAATTAATTCAAAATATTAGCTATGATACCTGTAACTCTTAAATAATAAAGCCATTTTAAGTAAAAGTTTAGGGAATACATAAGTATTTGACTTTAAGAAATTATTTAAAATATCAGTTGAACATGTCATCCGATGACATTGTTTCTGGGTAAGAGAAAGACTTGCTACATTAAAACATCTTTTGTGTGATACATTTGAACTGATGGTTTTAGATTTTTCAATATTCGTCTTGTTCATATTGTTTCTAGGTTTCTCCTGTATGATGTTAACCCAGGCGAGGGATTTAATCTGCGTCGAGATGTGTATATTCGTGTGGCAAACCTTGTTAAATTCCTCAATGAAGATGAGCCGTGGACCCTGGTACTTCCCCCCTGGGGGAGGCTCTATCATTGGAAGTCTAACATTGATCAGATCAAGGTGCCCTGGGGGACCTTCTTTGACCTGGAGAGCCTCGGGAGACACGTCCCCGTGATGGAGTATAAGGATTTTATTAAAAGTAGAGTGCTGCGTTTTAGTATTTGACCAGAAAGTTTTTGACATATTCTGGGATAAATTTGGCAGGGATGATGTTCTTAGCCTCAAAACTAAACTAAACTTTTTTTTTTAGCAAATTTTAAACTTTCAATGCTGAATTGGCAAAGTAAAAATAAAAATACTCAGCTATTTTAAAGTAGAATTATCTGTAGTAAAAGAAGAATATATGTGGTTGAAAACATTTACCCTATCAGGGTTTGTAGTAGTGATCAGTGTTAAACAAACCATGTCTAATTTTTTCAGTGTCTGGAGGAGCTGTTATTGAGGAGGTGTATTACCTGCAGAGATACAAGGAGGGATGGAAAGATGGAAAGTGGGAAGAAAGAATGGACATCCGTGACTGCCTGGACCAGAACTATTATCATAAGGTTGACACTGAAGACATGGTTCTTATCAAACATTTCAAACTTTTGCAATGGTTGTAGAATAAATAATTTTGGCTAAAGACACTTAATTGGTACATGGTTTATATATACTAACATTTTAAGCTCCTGCAATGGTTGTAGAATAAATAATTTTGGTTAAAGAAAATGTTAATTAATGAAAGATTTGACTTAAAAAAAATCTGTAAATAATGTGTAGTCAGTTATTTGCAGTTGTAACTCTATTTCTCACTAATGTATATTTCAAAGTAATATATTTTTACTATCCTTTGAGGATTATGGTTAACTTATCATTTCACTTATGTTAGCCACTCAGCATAAACTTACATTTGCCGCAATTAATGATTAAAAGAACCTTGGGCCAATAATTTCCCTTGTGTAATTAATATAAAACTATTGATCTTTTATGTTGAAGATGCAGTTTCTAGGTTAACAAGGACGTGAAAGCTGATAACTTAGTCTGTGAAGGCACATTTCATTGCACTGAGATTATCACTGATATATACTAACTGTTATATATGTATGTATTCACATCAGGATGAAGAAGGTGCCTGGAGAGGCTGGTTCTGGGGATATGAGGAGACCAAGGCCAAAAAACTCCAGTGTTTGTCAGTGCAGGCTCAGGCCAGCTCCATGAAACCGTTTCTGATGCACAACACCACAGCAAGGTCAGTGAATTGGACTTATGGCAGATGAACGTTTTGGATGTTTGGGACATTAGGTTAGAGTTAAAGCTTTGCTGAAACTGAAACTTTGCTTATATGTAATCTTGTCTCAATTTTTAGTTTTATTTTATTCTTTGGAATTGATGAAGTTGTCCATTATTCTAGTAAATGTAGTCTGTGCTGATAAGTTTCACTTTTTTTTTTTATCTAAAACTGGGCTGTTGCTAGCACAGTTATATAAGTCTCTTGAAATATATTTTGGCTTGTTGGAATGAAAAAAATTCCTCCATTTTATCAAAAGATATTGAGATTTTGCAAAAAAAAAAAAAAATAATAATAAATAAAATAAATAAATAAAGCAAATAAATAAATGAATAAAAATAAATAAATAAATAAAGATGGTAATGGTATTTGTGCTTTACTTTCTATTTTCTGTAACCCTGTTTGTCATGTACATAGTTTTGTCCTTTAATGACAAGCATATTCTGATATATATGTTCCTGTAATAATCAGTCCACACACGGCATACATCATCCATGTTACCTGTTACTTGTTACCTGGACTAACACCTGACATCTTCTATCTTAGGTCTGTCTGCTTGCTTAGGGCAGAACAATTACAACATGACTTCTTTGCTAACAAATGGTATTGGGATGTAAGTGTTACTAGCACAACAGTTTGTCTTGCCACGTCGGTCCACCCTGTCCTTGTCTAGACACACTGGGGGCATTGTAGACAAATGTAGAACGTAAAGTTCTTGGGCTTTTGAAATTGGGATATTTTTACAATTTTGTCATTTTGACTTTGTTTTGCTAAAAATTGATTGGCCAATAGTTCTTATTTATTTTGTGAAAGTACAAAATGCATGGCCAGTATGAAACCAGATTATTACAGCTGCCTGCTCATACACTGTGGTCATAGCTGAGGATGTTCACTCAGAATCTTACTGTGATGTGGAAATTTATTAAAATGTCACTAGATGGCAAGCTTTATACACTGGGGATTTTATATATTAAAAATCTGTGTCTGTGTGTGTGTGTGGGGGGGGGGGGGGGGCAAGA